AGCAGGTGGAACAAGAGGTGCTCCACCCTCAAAAATCAGAAGGTAAAAGTCTTCAAATTTCTGGTTAGTAGCGCTTTCAGTTAGATTTTTATACAGATATCATTGTGATAAGGCTTTTAGCTAGTAATAAAGACATGGGAAACTTCCTGACCTTCAATGGGGCACCACTGGTGCCAGTGCCAGAGGTTAGGAGTTTGGGAGTGCTCCTAGACGCCTCCTCAACGATGGAGGCCCAGGTAGCAGCCACTGCCGAGTCGGCCTTTTACCATCTTTGGCTGATTATGCTGTCGGCTCCCTTCCTTGAATGCAATGACTTAACAACAGTGATCCATGCAATGGTCACCTCGAGACTGGATTACTGTAATGCCCTCTACATGGGGCTGCCATTTTCACAAATCTGGAAGCTGCAGCTGGTGCAAAATGCCGTGGCCAGGCTATTGATGGGACTCCCTACTCGGGAGCACATCCATCCTGTGCTAAAGTCATAGCACTGGCTGCCTATAGCATACTGGATTCGCTTCAAGGTGCTGGTTCTTAGCTTAAAGCCCTTTATGGCCAGGGACCTACATACCTGAGGGACCACCTTTCCGCATATGTACCCCAGAGAGCGCGGCTTTCAAGGACCCAGAATTGACTGGCTCTCCCAAGCATTAAGGAGGCCAGGCTGGTGACAACTAGGGCCAGGGCTTTTTCAGGGATGGCTCCACTCTGGTGGAATGAGCTCCCAGAAGAGATCAGGGCCCTGCGGGACCTTTTACAGTTCCGCAGGGCCTGTAAAACGGAGCTCTTCTACCAGGCCTTTGGAGCTGCCACCATTACCACCACTACCTCTACTCCCAACAACTGACACCTTATGGTGGGAGAACCCTGATCTGCTGGACCCTTCAATTGCTGCCTGAGCTAATCACCCAAGACAACTGAAGAAGACCAAAAAGCTGACTAAAATGAGGAAATTATGTTTGCTTTATTATGTTACTGGTTTTAACATTGTTATTTATATTAATTGATGTTGATGATTTTACGCTGTATTATTGGAATTTTATTCTGTTGTGTAAGCCGCCCTGAGCGGGGTAAAAAATTAATAAATAATAATCATAAATAAAACTTTAAATGGAAGTAAAGTATTGCTTGTCTGAGTGGAAGGCACTTCATTTATGTGGGAGGGTGTTCTGTGTGCTCCCCCCCCAGCTGTAATTCCCCACAATACAATGTTCCTGAGGATCCTCTAATCTTTAAAACTTGTTATTGTTGGTAATATCTGTTGATCATGTAAAACAAACTATAGTATAAATGTGGCTTGTTCAGCAAATCTGTTGACAGACGAATTTCCAAATTCTACCAGTTCTAATCCCCAATCCACTACTCATTTGTCAAAGTGCATTCTGTACAATAATTTCAAGTTGCAGTTCTGTGTCACATGCTCATTCTGGCTTGCTCTTAACCTGCTTCTGACCTGAATGCTTGACTTTTCTTTCTGTCTGACAGTGTCCTTACTCTTGAGTGATTTCAGTATTCATGTTAATAATTGTTCTCAAACAGTGGCTTCTGTTTCTTGTTCCTGACTACCACCTTCAGTCTCTGCATCCTTGCTCTGTCTTGAACACTTTAGATCTTTCCTTCACCAAGAACACTTTGCTGTTTAATACCCTATTGTTTTTATACCCAACAGCATTGTATACAGTCAACTTTCCCAACTGTGCTTTTTGTTTCCTTTTTCTGTGGATTGCAGTCTATGCTGGTTAAGGCACTTAGAAGCTATGTCACGTCTTGTCATTTCTGTCACTGCTCACTCCTGAAATTCCACTTTGTATTTGCTTTTTTTTTTTAGCCTGTCCTTAGCTCTTGGCTTATTCCTACCAGTTTCTCAATGAAATTCATCCTTCTGTCCAGCCCAGGCCCACTGTGAATGAGCTAATAAAAGGGTGAACAGACCTCCACCCAAATCTACTCTGCTCCAGCAAGTTTTTCCCCCATAGGTGAGGGTGGAAGATAGAGAGGAAGCTAAGCATTACGTTCTTGGATACAGTTTTCCGTCCATATTTCTCTTTCTATGCTTTCTTCAATCATTTCCCTTTCCTTCCATTATTTATCCTATTGCCCGTGTTTAATTTCTTAACTTGGCATCTTGATCCTCTCTTTTCTAAACTCCTGGTTGTCATCTCTACATGCAACCTTCTTTCCACCACACAGAACTTATCCCTTTCCCCTGGTTCCCTTCCTGTTGCATCAAAATATGCCAGTAGTTTCCCTTGGATGACTTCAAACGTGATGACATTCAGTGCCACCTGTACACTGATACCAAATCTCACCTTTATCTGAACTTTCTCTCTATCCAGTTCCGCTTTTGGCTGTTTGGTATTTTCCCATGGATGTCTCCTTGCCATCTCAAACTCAGACTAAATTTACCCATCTTCCCAGCTGTCTTACATTGTCCATATTTGTTGACATCACCATCCACTATACCAAACAGGCATGAAGCCTTTATTTCCATATTCAGGCTGTCATCAAGTTATGATACTTTTCCCTTTATAACTCTGGATCACTGTGATCATCTCTTGCTTTGACTTGCAGCCTTCTTTTCTCTGGTTGCCTACTGTTGGACTATCCCCCTTGCACCCGTATCCAGTGTTCTGTGGCCAAAATCATTTACTGTTTTCATTTTGACCATAGTTCCTTCATTCCAAGATGGCTTCTGGCAATTTTACTCCCGCGAAGCCCCATTCGATTCCCACTTTACGACACACCTCCCTTCACGCTCGAGGCGCGCTGATCCGCCAATCATTTCCCTTTCCTTCCGTTATTTCTCCTATTGACCATGTTTAATTTCTTAGCTTGACATCCTGGTTGTCATCTCTCTCTACATGCAACCTTCTTTCCACCACACAGAACTTATCCCTTTCCCCTGGTTCCCTTCCTGTTGCATCAAAATATGCCAGTAGTTTCCCTTGGATGACTTCAAACATGATGACATTTAGTGCCACCTGTACACTGATACCAAATCTCACCTTTATCTGAACTCTCTCTCTCTCTATCCAGTTCTGCTTTTGGCTGTTTGGTATTTTCCCATGGATGCCTCATTGCCATCTCAAACTCAGACTAAATTTACCCATCTTCCCAGCTGTCATACATTGTCCATATTTATTGACATCACCACCATCCACTATACCAAACAGGCATGAAGCCTTTATTTCCATATTCAGGCAGTCATCAAGTTATGATACTTTCCCCTTTATAACTCTGGATCACTGTGATCATCTCTTGCTTTGACTTGCAGCCTTCTTTTCTCTGGTTGCCTACTGTTGGACTATCCCCCTTGCACCCGTATCCAGTGTTCTGTGGCCAAAATCATTTACTGTTTTCATTTTGACCATAGTTCCTTTTTAAATCTGTACACTGGCTGTCCGTTCTTAGATCCTGCACAAACTTTCTCAGCCCTACCCCACCTTCCTGAGTAGATATAAATTGCCTGTCTACCATTTTTCTTCTCACCTTGACACAGAGAGTACTCCATCTTTCTGTGTTATACCTCTGAGGATGCCAGTCACAGCTGCTGGCGAAATGTCAGGTCCTACAATGCCAAGACCACGGCCAGACAGCCCTGAAAATCTGCAACAGCTAATGAACTCTGGCCGTGAAAGCCCTCAACAACATATTGAACGCCTCTACGGGGAGGAAACATTTCAGCTAGTAGATGTTTGGGGAAGGCCACTGCCTGAGACCCTGGACAGCTGCTGCCAGTCAGAGTAGACAAGACTAGCTGCCCCTTCTCCCTTGTTGTTCCTTATGCCTGGAACTCTGTACAATGCCACTTCTTGTTTCAAATGGACTTCAAAAGCCACCATTTCCATTGGCACAATCATTTAGTTTTCCTCCCCTTCTAATATGAAGTACACATAAATGGAATTAACACTCATTTATTCTTGCCTCTGTTTTCTTTCTCTTATTCCCATTGATGGTGCTTTAAATAATATTCCAGCATTTTCTTTTGGCTTTTGTTTCTAATGTACACGTGCCACTTTTTCCTCCCTCTAGAAGAGACTAAGTATTATGAGAAAACAAATGTTTCTACAATTTTTAAAAACAAATTTTGGGATTGAAAAATTTGTGTGCTTCTATCTCTTCATAGATGAGAAACTTAATTGGGAAGGTCAGACAAATAATGGGAGTGATGAGCAGAGAACTCAAGATACTACCAGACAAAAAGATGAGTCTACATGTAAAATACGCAGATCAGGCAGAAAAAGCATGTCTCCTTTTAGCACACTTTACAACCTTATGAAACATGAAGTTGATACAAAACTAACAGAAGAAAGCTTCAGCATTAAGCTCTCCATACAGCAAAAAGCAGAATATTCACCCAGAAAAGACAAAAGAAGCATTGCTGCTTCTCAGACTCCACAGAGGATATCTGTATCTGGTGAAACAATTCAGATTGAAGAGACTAAAACAGCTTTGGAGAATTTTAAACAGCCTACAGGTACTGAAAATCAAGGAATAAACATGATAGTATCCAGAAGATCTTCTAGAGTTCTTCAAATCTATGCTGCAAATGAGAGACAAGACAGAGAAAAGATAAATCTATTACATTTCCAGAATGTTAAAGAAAATGAAGATTCTGAAGTAATTAAAAGTAGTAACAATGATGCAAGTTCAGGATGTTTATCTATGTCATGTAGCATTGTAACCTTGGAAAATATAGAAAAAGCAAGCTGTTATGAAAAATCAATAAGTCTGTCAACAGAGATAGCCAATGTAGAAGTAAAAACTAACCTAAATACTTCTGGCTCTGTAGAAAGTGTTTTACCCAGGTCAAAAGCTGAGGGAGAGAGTCTTGAAACTTGTTCTAGTCCATCTTCAAGACAGGCTAGTGGTATGCTACAAATTGAATCAGATCCTTTGTTAGGACTGAAGAGCAGGAATAATGAATTGCTGGACACAGAACAGCCTTTAGATGCACAACTTTTGGAAGAAACAAAAACAGAAAGTGATCCACTACAAGATGGACATTTGGAAACAATTGCCTGCTTGGTTCACCGTAATGACAGTAAAAGCCCTCGGAGGAGTTCTAGACAAAGAAGAAATTTTACAAATACGGGTTCTGTAATCATGGAAGAGTCATTACTAACAACTAAAGATGTGTCACCTTTTAAAGGGGTAGCTGAAGAAAACAAGGTGAAATATTGGCCCCAGAAGAATGGTGGTTACATAGAGGAAAGGCCAACTACAAAAAACCTTGAGAATAATTTTGTAATGAAAAATACAGCAGGATCTTCCTGTTTATCTAAAAGGTGTCATAAAAGCTGTGTCCGAATGCCATCTAAAGATGTTCAGGAAATGAACATGTCAAATCAGTGTAATATGAAGGAAGAGCCAAGTAAATTATTTAAATCCCATTCAAAAATCATCACTTCTTTGATAGTTTTAGAAATATGTGTAGTATATCTCTTCCACAGAGACCTTGAAGAATCTAGCTTTTCTCCTTCATAGAAATTTCCAGTAGTTATAAAAGTTAAGTGACATAGGAGAATGAACAGGATGCTAAAAAGATTCCAAATGTTTGATTTATTAGCTCTTGCCCTTTTCTTTCAATTCAGGTAATGGTTTACTGAACACAGCAGCCAAATACTACTGTTATGCACGAAGGATATCCCCTATACCTCAGAATTCAGAATAACCCTTTTTTTGGTTGCTATTTTAGTTCAAAAGCAGCAATATTTTAAAAGGATTTTTTAACATTAATAACACCATGCAATAAAAGTTTGACAATAGAGCAACTTTTTAATTAGCCGTGTTCTTCTGTTCTAGCAATCCAGAAATCACCTCAAAAACGTAAACGGGGAGAATTTGACTTATCAGTTCAACCTCTTGGAAAAAGGAAGAGAGTATCCTTTGGTGGTCACTTGAGTCCTGAATTGTTTGATAAGCATTTACCTCCAAACTCACCACTCAAAAGAGGTGCAATTCCAGCAAGATTTAGTTTGCCATGTGGAAAATCACCTCAAGCAGTGTTGAAAAAAGCATCGGAATTTAAACCATGTGTAAAGGTAAACAAGTTCCACTTTTTCTGAAATCTTAATAAATGTTTTCAAGCCAGGCCTCACTGTACCAGCACTAATGGCTATGTATGTCTTTAAAACATTCCTAATCTGAGATTGAAAGTTTTGGTTTTTACGTATTACTAAACTTTTTTTTTTCACCTTTACACACCATGTGCAAATGCTGCCACATAATCCAATAAATTTGTGTAGGGAAAAGAGCAAGGGATGTAGATTTGAAATCGATAGTGAAATAGTTGTCTTCCATTCTTATGAAGGATCCAGCTCAATTTGTTTGCCCATAAATTACAAGATATTCAAACCAATTATACAGAAGCTCGGACCACAACAGTGAGGTGTAAGTTTTAGTGTAAGGTAAATGTACCAGAAATATAATCTAACCAGTTTCCAGGTCATGTGATACAGTATGAACTGCACTCCATTCTTACGTGCTTTGCTGTCATGGGGATTTATTTTTCAAATTTATATTCCGCCCTCCCCATGAATGAGCTGAGAGTGGATCACAACAACAAGTAGCACAACACAATAATAAATAATCAGTTAATACAGTAAAACAAACATTTAAAAACAATCTGCATCAGTACTGGTGCCACTGGACTAGGTTCACTTAATCCGGTTCGCATACAGATGGTGTCCTCAGTGTGTGTGTGTGGGGGATATACAGATGGTTAGTCTAAATCCGATATCTCTCCAACCCACCTACTTCATATGAATAGCATAATAAATATAGTTGATCAAAGTCGTATGTATGTGAAAAAGAGCTAGCAGTTTACTGGACCAGCTACTGGTGTGTGAGCATGGATTATTTTATTTGTCACACCTTTAGCCTGTCTTTTTTTGTCCTGATGTCTATATGCTTACAAGTAAATTTGTCAAACTGTTAATTCTTAAAAACTCATAGGTACATTTCACAATTTTTCAAGTTGAATTGGGGTTCTTACATTTATACTCTGATTTTTTTTTTCCTAGCAGGGTTTCTCTGGAAAAGATCAGCAGGAGAATACATTGCTGAGAAAGGGGTCCCCAGTGGCCTCGCCCACAGCCCAAAGGTCCCTAGCAATGTTTTCTTGTAACTCGCCCCACATGAGAGGGCGGTTCTCTGTTTCTCGTGTTGATGTACCTTCTATTAGTTCAGTAGAACAGAATGTTCCTGCAAAAGAAATTGATGTAACTAAAGAAATAAAAACTCCTGAAACTTCTCACCAAGATTCCCAAAATGCTCAGTCAGTAAGGAGAAGCGGCAAGCTTGTTTCAAAGAGAACTTCCTTGCACAGGAGGAGTGGTGCTATGGATGCTATTCGTGCTAAAAGGCAAAGTGGTGCTTCTGAGGCCAATTTGATAGGTTTGTTATAATCGTTCAGTTCAGTGTTTCTGAAACAATAGTATATAGTAATTTTATAAAGCGCCAGTAAATAATTTCAGAATTGTACATAGAAATACAGCTTTTTAATATTTCATTGTACTATTTAGGGGGAATGGGACAGTGTCATATTTTTTGTTTTAAAACACATGGAAGTTAGTAATATGGCACATCTTGATCAATTGTTCTTGCAGTTTCAAAGTCTTGGGCTGAAGTTGTGAAACAGGGTATTCCAAAATCACAACGAAGGACTACTCCTAAATGTGGCCTTAAAAGAAGACCAACTAAGAAAATGCCTACAAAAGCACTAAAGGTACTGTTCAAAAATTAGGCCTACTACTACTATCAGAGTTCAGTAAGTAGCCTCTAATTTAGTTGCTGAAGAGAGAAGAATGTTTTCTTAATATGGAATTTTTTCATAACTACAGGAGGACACAGTTCATAATTCGTTGGTAAAACGTGGTTTGGATCCAGGTGTTCAACCACAGTGGGGTGACTTACATTATTTTTGCACTTCTCCACAGTGGACCTCAGTTTTGTTCCTCATGCATGCTAAGTGTTTTTAGAAAGCGGACAGCCAGGTAGACTTTTGCTCAGCAAGTCTTCTGATTGGTCGTTGGAGATTCAATTGGCTGTGCAGATTTTTAAGAATGTTGCTTCGGCTAGAGTGCCACCACAGCACAAGAATATTCACTGTTGTGACTGAAGGCAAGCTGTAGCAGCCATTTTGTGGCTGTGCCCACTATGATGTGTCAGTATTCCAAAGGTGCCCACAGCTTCAGAAAGGTGGGGGACCCCTGAACCAATTAAAGGTTGAGGTATCCATTCCAAAATTCCCTCAAAGGATTTGACTAATAAAACTATATCCCCAGAATCACGTGAGTTTAAAACCCAGGACTTTAGGGAACATCCACAAAGCAAGTTGTGTGCAAGGGAAGATATGAATGAATGATGTTTATTTATGATCAAAGACCATTTGTCAAAATAATACATATTCGTTAAATACAAACAGATTAGCTTTCAGTCCAAAAATGTATATTTAGACACATAATCTTAAAACTCTTAAAATGTTAAAAAATAAAAAGTTTAACAGTCCATTATATTAAAATAACTATGAAAATGTCTAAAACTAAACTAATTATAAATCATGCAAAAGGTGATTGAGGGTTTTTATTGTGGAATTTTACCAGCTGCAAGCAGAATTTAAGCTATTTGTCAGGAGTTTTGCTGATTTTCCTCTGTCAGACGTCTCTCTAGATCAGCACTATCTGCATCAGATGCTGGCCTATCTAAGAGGGGAGATAATTATCCCTATAAGAAGGGGAGATATGTGACATGGTGGACCAGAGGAAATGCCTTTGATCATTTCCCCACACTCCACTCTAGTTGGATCATACTAGTGCATTGTGACAGGAGCTAGGCGTTCAAACCAGAAGGCAAAACATGAGACCCTATATGCTTAACATGATTTCTTCATCTTGGGGAAACCTGAGAGACTCACACAAAACTGGCCTTCTTTATCAGACAATGCAGTTATATTTATGACAAGGGGACAGCTCTGAAAAGATTATGCTTGCTAGCCTCAGCCTGTCACATAGTTCACTGCTAGCCACACTCAAGCCCTGAGCAGGCATGTATGCATGGAAAAGCAATTTGGACCCAAATTGTTCAGGGCTTTAATAGTTATAACTAACTAGCAGTAAAGCCCATTGTGAATCCAATACAACGGGATCTAGAAAGAGGCTCTGGGGGAGTGCTCTGGCTTTGGGCAAACAGTGTCAATTTGCTGTGTTGACCTCAGCAGGGTATAATGACAGAGTCCACTGTTTTCTCCAGAAGAACTCATCTCTGCTACCTGAAGAGCAGTTGTAATTGTGAGTGATCTGTAGCCCTCACCTGGAGATTGGCAGCAATTGTTACCCAGGACAAAATGGCTGGTTTGGAGGGTGGAGTTGGCAACCCCATCTCCTTCCCAGCTAACCATCAACCTACCATTATCTGCCCCTTTGACTTCAGCTGACTTCTGCCCTCCCTTCTGCAGAGCAGTTGTAATTCTGAGTGCTCTCCAGCCCTCACCTGGAGATTGGCAACAATGGTTCCCTATGTGGGACTGACTGGTTTGGAGGGTGGAGTCTATGGCAGTGTACCTGTCTGAGGTCCCACCCCTCCTCAAACCTCACCCTCTTCAGGCTCCATCCCTCAAATCTCCAGGAATTTCCCATCTGGAGTTGGCAACCCTATCAGGACTGGCCCCAATGTGTTTTCTCCCAAAGGCCAAAGTAGGTGACAGGACCAAGCTTAGATGCCTACCAACAGGCACTGAGGGGAATGTAGGGTTGCCAGCTCTAAGGAGGGAAATACCTGGAGGTTTGGGGGGTGGAGTCTGTAGAGGGCAGCAT